TGAGCCAGATTCTTAGCACATCTATCCAAATTCAGGAATCATTCTATTGCTCCCCCAATCCCACTCTGTCAGCTGAAAACACAAAGGCAACAGAGTAGGAACTCCTCACAGGATTTCCTGACTTGGAGATTTCTCTGTGTTCCTGACCCGTCCACTCCTTCTTCTTGCTGTGGTCTGAATGTTTGTGCCTCTCCTCCCCCACCTCCTCCCCCACCCCACTCACATTTTGTAAATCTAAAGCCCCAGGGATGGTGTTAGGAGGTGGGGCGTTAGGGGGTGATCAGGTCATGAGGGGGAGCCCTCATGATTGGGATTAGTGTCGTTACACAAGAGACCCAGAGGACTCCCCCGCCTCTCCGTCGTGTGAGGACGCAGTGAGAAGGCCTAGCTATGAACCAAGAAGGGGCCCTCATTCGACCACAGTGGCACCTTGATCTTGGACTTCCAGCTTCCAGATCTGCGAGCAACAACTTTATGCTCTTTGTCACCCTGTCTGTGGGGCTGTATTACCAGCCCGAATGGATTAAAACGTGTCTCTCCTATTTCAAAACCGAAATGTTCCCCAGATTTTGCAGGAACCTTATTGGTAGTGGTCCAAAGCTGGAAACAACCCAAAGACCCATCCACGAGTAAATGTATCAACAGACTGTGGAGGGTCCACACAACAGACTTGCTACTTGGCCATGAAAAGCCATGACCTACTAATCTAACAGGTCAGAAGAACCTAAAGGCAATGATGCTGAGGGTACGAAGCCAGAGAAAGAGGGTACAGCATTCGACTCTGTTGCTCCACACTTCTAGAAACTAAAAACTACGCTGTAATGAAAGAAGCAGATCCATTGGTCTCCCTGGGGAATGAGGTAGAGGGCAGGGAGGAAGGACTGCAGAGGGATAGGAGAAGCCTTTGAGGGTGATGGAAATGCTGGTTACACCATCTGCACGTATGTCATCCCTCATCAAACTCTGCACTTCTAAATACACGCAGGTTATTGTGTGTTAGTTATATATTAATAAAACTGTAAAACATAACGTATATTTTCTCCTTTCCTAGGCTACCTGCTGTATGTGTACAGCCTTGGTCACCTTCTCTCCTGGGTTGTCATTCCCCATCTCTTGTTCTCTGTCCTTCCATCTGCCCCGTAGGTGTCTTTTCCTTGGCATAAAAGAGGAACCCAAACCCACTCTTGTACAAACTCCTTCCTCTGAACTCTACGCTCCTCAGTTGCTCTCCTCTTTTTCTTGACTGCAAGCGCCTACGATGGGTAGTGCACTCTAACCCCAACCATTCCCATGTACTTCTCAAGTCCTGCCCTCTGGTATCTCTCATCAACACTCCAGGTGCCCTACTTTCTCCCGGTCTCTAGTGATGCCGGCTTCAATAATGTCTTCCGAGTTCACACCAGCCAGGCAGCCCTGCCAACACTCCTCCCGTTCAAACTCCAGTCTGGAGACCCTATTCACGTCCCACTTGGTAGCTCCTTGCCTTCCGAACCTTGCTACCTGTGAGTGTTTCAGTGACCTGCCTGCTCTTCCCTCCAGTTCCAACAACTTGGCAAATATACCTGTTTAAGGTTCTCCGTGCACATGGCTCACCGTTAACTTTGACTAGTGTCTTCCTGTTTAATATCATCAGTGAGAAGATCCAAAGCACCTTATCGTTGACTCTGGTGGGCCCATCCTTGGTCTCTGCATTTGGATATGGCGCTTCTCAGTGGCTGAGGCCCCTGATCTCAGCGTCAGCCACTGAACAGCCAGAATACCGAGCAAACCAGGGAGAGAGAACGGCTCCCAGGGCTCGTCTGCATGGGACTCATCCGAGAGTCTTTCCGTAGGAATCTGCTATGATATCAGGAGCCTGGACTTGTAGGAACCATCACACAAAACTAGAGAATGGAGGTGAGCTAAGGAAGAAGAGACAGACGGATCCTGTTGGAGCCTAGCACATGTATGCCAAGCACCAACCTGGGTCTGAAGGCAGCCCTCCTTCGAGACTTCTTGTTGCATAAGCCAACACATTTCCTGCTGAATTTTCTGTTACTTGCAGCAGCCAGAAGACTATGAAATGTATGTCCCCTCAATGATAGTACCGAGGCACGTCCCTCAGCAAGTGTTTCTTCCATCACCGAAATACACTAAAGCCTTAGAAACCCATGCCCTAGACTTACCACATTACAGTCACAATGGAACATGTATCCTATATTCTCTAGCGGACCAAGAATGTCTCTAAGGAAAGACAGCACGTGTGCTCGCCATTTCAAGGCACTGCAGTGCCTGGGGCACTGTGGACACCCAACACCCCGTGTAAATGTGCGTTGATCTCTAGAGAGCTCTTTCTGGGACAGAAGGATACGGGCATCGCAACTTCCCAACTGGGTTAAGATCTCCTTTAAGGTATCATTGCTAACCCTTCCTTTTAAGATTTCATTTTCCAGCTCTTCTGGCTCAAACTTCCTCAGTGGCTCCCTCTTGCTCCTGGTGTGGAATTCCACCCACGGATCACAGCCAGCAGGTCTGTGGGATACAATCCCTCATGATGATTCCCATTTCATGCTTTGCCCCTGTGCCTCTGGACCTTCTTTTGCATGCCCTGGACATACTGGCGTCTTTTTAGTTTTTTGAACAAGTCAAGATCTTTTCTTTTCTTTTCTTTTTTTTTAAGATTTTTATTAATTTATTTCACAGAGAGATCACAAGTAGGCAGAGAGGCAGGCGGGGTGGGGGTGGGGCGGGAAGCAGGCTCCCCGCTGAGCAAAAAGCCCCATGTGGGGCTCGATCCCAGGACCCTAAGATCATGACCTGAGCTGAAGGCAGAGGCTTAACCCACTGAGCCACCCAGGAGCCCCCAACATCTTTTCAACCTGGGGACCTTGACCTTGGTGTTCCTTCTCACTGGAGAGCTTATTTTCTTATTTTAAACATTATCTTCTTGATGAAAGTCCCAGACTACTCACCTGCAGGCAGTCCCCTTGCCAGTCTTAACCCTCCATGGCACCTGTCTTTTCCTCAAGAGCACGAATCACAATCTGTATTTATACAGCTGTTTGACTGACACAAGCTCACTCTATGACTCTCACACTACGTTATAAAAGGAAAGGATCATTTCTGCTCGTTTTAGCCACATCACCTGGTATGACTCCTGGTCACAGTAGAGGCTTAAAAACATGCACGAATAAATCACTCTCCCAGAGCAGGTTAATATAGTTGGCACATACTGAGGCTTAATAGATAATGTCTGAGTGGACATTATTACATCCTTTTTCAGTCCTAAAAACCTTCTGAAGCCCTGCCAATACTATCACAAAATAACCAAAAACAAATAAACACAAGCTGGTAGTTTACACAGCCGGTAACAGACACCTGCCGACCAGCAAACCCATATAATAAACTCGTCCCTGAGTCGGAACAGCCAGATATACACAGGCGATAGCAGCGCTATTCACAAAAATCCTAGGATGGAAACAACTCAAATGCCCATGAGTGAATGGATGGACGAACAAAAGGGACATAGCCATACAATGGAGTAGTACTCAGTCATAAAAAGGAACAAAGTACTCACACACACTGAAAGCATTCTATTAAGTGAGAGAAGCCAGAACCAAAAGGTCATATGTTGCATGATTCCATTTTTATGAAATATCTAGAATGGGCAAATCCATACAGACTGAAAATCCATCCATCCATACGTTTATAGGAATGGCTGTGTCTCCGTAATGGGTTGGGGTTTCCTTGTGGGGTGATGAAAATGTTCTGGAACTAGATATGGTGACGGTTGCACTTAACTGTGAATGTTGTCAACCCCACTGAATTAGATGCATTAAAATCGTTACAATGGTAAATTTCATGTCATATACATATTTAACACAATAAAAAAAGGTGAAGTAGGCAATAGACCATGTTAGAATGTATACTATTTTTCAAAACTCTCCGTATTTTACCTTGAAATGAAGTACCAGGTAGCAAAGTAATAAATGGTTACTTTGAGGGCCAAGAAATAATCTCCTGCTATAAACCAAGAAATTCCCTCACAAATACTGGTTTTCCAGAGGCCTTGGAGCAGAAGAAAAAAGTACAGTTGCCTTCTACCTACAAAATGTTCTGGACTAGCAGCTTGGCGTGCCCAGGCTTCCCATAGAACAAGGAATCCCACATAACAAGGTTTCTCAAATGAACATACACATCTTGTGACGTGCATGGTTATTTTAGGTCACGTGCACACGAACAAGTGTTTAATTTTAATAACTATTTTTGTTAAGACTTATCTTTGATTAATAGGCAACAATGCTAGTTTTCAATTTACGGTGGTGATAAAATGTTTCTTTTTTGTTTGTTTGCTTGTTTTCAATCCACTGAATACATTCACATGTAATAAAATAAACTCTTGTCGGTGCAGAAACTAAACAGCCACCCTCAAAATACAGAACATTCTATGACCTTGGAAAATTCTCCAGTGCTGCCCCTTTGTGGCCCAGGCCTCCCCCACCCTATGGCTCGCACAAAACACAGAACAACGTAGGTAAATGTTAAAGGCATGAGGAAGGCTGAAGAAGCTGAAGAAGACGGGGCTAGGGTGGAGAGAAGCTGCAAAGGGGCCTGAGGTTTCTTCCTGGGTGATGGCAATATTCTAAGATTAGATTGTGCCACCGGTGGCACAACTCTGCAAATATATTAGAAATCAATGAATGGTACACCAAAAGTGGTTTATCTCCATAAAGCTGTTAAAATTACGAAGTGTATGATTCTTCTAAGAGGACCGAATTCCAGAAAAGGCAAGAGGAACAGAACTGAGATGAAAGCTTCCCTTTATGAATAAAGGCAGTTAAGGAAAAATGTGTTGATTTAAGTAAGTAATAGGAGAGGAGGCCTCTAGACAGGTGAGTTTTGCAAGCTGCTGTGACAGCGCCGGGTTCAGGGGTTGCTGGGGGGCAGGAGCCCCGTCGGATGGGGCGCGCCCTGCAGTCACCCCCACCCGCTCGGCCGCCCGAGGACCCGCGCCCACTTACTGTGGCGGTGCCCGACACGGTCTGCGCGCTGGTGTCCGCTGCGCTCTGCTCCGAGTGCGTCTGGGCGGGAGGGTACAGGTTTAACGTGTGCTCGGGGACGGTGGTCTGGCCCGTGTACTCTGGCGCGGGGTGGGGGTGAGGGGCCGTGTATTCCGCCGGGATGCCGTTCTGAGGGGGAGCAAACTGGGCTGAAGCGTAAGGCTGAGCCATTGTGTCCGGGGCAGCTGCTGCTTCCTGATTACCCTAAAAAAAATCAGAAAGGGGGAGAGAGGATGAGAGCACTGTGAGAGGGCACCAGACAGATCCCTTCCCTGGGGCCCGAAGACCAGTGCTCCCCGCCACAGTCTGCAGGAGCCGGCACGGTGCCCAGAGCCCGAGGTGGATGCATTCCCCTTCATCTCCGCCAGGCTCCGTAAGGAAATGGCGCTCTGCAAGTATACAGACATGACCCCATTGCGCGGATGCAGACATCGAGGCTCAGCAAGGCGCAGTCACTTCCCCCTATCTCCCAGCCCCATAGCCAAAGGCGGAGGGTCTGTACTCTGCCCCATCAGATTTTTCTGGCAGATCCTCCTTATTTCATTCCCATTTTGGAACATGCGAGCATGTAGTTGTCTCCAGTGACAGCAGCGCCTTGATTTGATACTTAAAATGCCAAGAGAGATTAAATTGTACGTGTGTGTTCTTGAGAGGAGAGACAATTCATCTAAGCATTTGAATTTAATCAAAGTTTTATGTGACTTGGCTCACATAATGGGATGGGGGGTCCTTTTAATGGTCACAGTGTGTGTGTGTGTGTGTGAGATGTTCCAATGAAGTGCCAATACAAAGCAGCCAATGGAAATTCAAGACCTAATTTGGACAAAGATGGCACTCTGTGATACTGTGTTCACCATTTTAAGTATCTTTATAAAATGCTGGGCTTGCATCAACCTCATTAATCAATGCCTCCCCCCGCCCCCTGCTTTATTTTTTTTATAAGCATAGAGTATTATATAACAATTCACCCTTCCAGTCTAGGCAAAACATGCAGCGTGATCATTACAGTCAAGTCAAAAGAATTAAAAAAAAAACACACACAAAAAAACCCTGAATTCAAATGCTTCCATTTCAGGAAGCTTCTCTCCTTCTCTCCTCCTACCCAGACCCTCATAACTATACTTCCCTGCACACACATACACACACACAGGCACACACATGCACACATATGCACACTGCAGCAGAAACTGTAACTCAGAGGTCCAATTTTTTTCATGATCTCAAGAGATGGGATTGCACATTCAGAGAGAGAGAGAGAGAGAGAAGCTAAGCAATTAAGCATAGCAGATAGCTGCCTCTCCCATTGTCTGTGGTCAATTAGATGTGACTTCAGCCCTCACAGAATGATACCAGGGCAAGAATGTCAGGATTGCTCACATCTCCTCAGTCCCCACCACCAACATTCGAGAGCCTCTCCAGCTAAAGCAACTTGAGTGCAGCGAAAACATTATGACAGAGAAGGGACCAAAAAAAAAAAAAAAAAAATTATTCTCGGAGCTGCACACAGAGTTTGTGCATTTGTTTAGAGGGGACCTTAATTAGAATGTTAAAGATGACACTTCGGAGAGAACTAAGCTTAGGATAAGTTTAAAACATTTTACAAGTGAAAACATTCCCATCACGCCCTTTCCTCCCCCAGATGAATGTCTCCAAATGTCTATACCGCCGGGAAAGCAGAAATGTGCAGCTATTGCTCGCTTTCTGCCTAATGTCTTTTCCTCGCGTTTGGGGCTGTGCAGGGTCTCTCCGCGCCCTCGCTGGATCCCTGTGCGTGGAGAGTTAACCCTGACCATCGTGGGAAGCCACATTGCCATTGCTGCTTTGTGTGCATCGGTCTTTTCATCAGGAATAACACCTGGTTTCTTGTGAGGAGACACATGCCCTCTCAGCCCACAGAGTACAGATGGGGGCTGAGCCCTGCCTCAACTTACCTCCAGACACGGTCATGTGACCCTGGCTCATCAGAGGGTTACACGGTCACCGTCACAGGGACATGGGTTCACCTCCATCTAGTGAGTGAGTTCACCTCTAGCAACGTCAAGGAGGCATAATCCAGGACCCTCCCAGGGGTTTGGGGAAGAGGTTCTCTTTCCTCTGGGATTGGCTGCTGTAAAAATAACACAGCCCTGGGGCTGCCCACAACTGCCACTTGAAAAGGACCCACCTAAAGCAGAAGCCAACCCAGAGGGAAACGGAGTCCAGAAATTGAGAAACAGGTCAACTGAGTCCCGGTGACATCATGTGAAGCCTTGGGTCCAACCTTATCTGCAGTTAATAACACCACTGTTTGCTTTAGTTACATGAATCGGTAAATGCCTCAGTTTGTGTCAGATAGTTTTATTTTCTGTTACTTACAACCCAAAGAGTCTGGACTAATAAGAATAGCAACGTCCTCTCCCATTTATAAGCTAACTAGCATCCTTCTCTTCTACAGGGCTGCTCAAGGAACATAGGCCCCGGTACACAAATTCCACATGGAGCCACATTTTTTCTGGCTGATGAGAAGTCCCAGAAACTCTGGGACCTTGAGAACCCTCCAAAGGGAAATTCATTTTGCCAGATTCTACTTCTGCCCAAAGGTCCATTTCAGTCCCCCCCACCCACCTTCGATCTGGTGCTTCTTTGAATTGAAAGTCAGGCTTGTGAAAACTCCAGGTGTGGCCCCAAAGGGAAGCAGGAAATGACCCATAAGCAAGAGCAGAGAGATGTTCACACAAAGAGAAAGCTTTCCCTCCTCTGCCTCCAGCAGAAAACACTTTGAGGGGGACATATAGGCCCATGTGGCCTTTCCATACAGCTAAGCACTCTCAGGAAGAGTAACCTGTCCCCCACAGGTTCTCAAGAAACTACAAGGGCTTTCTGTTGGGATCTGAGCTCTCTCTGCATCAGAAGGAGAAAGGCCTCCCCTCAGGAAGCCAACAGTCACTCCATACTCTCCACACCCATCAAGTCTACCCACTCACTGCCCCTCTGCTTGGAAAACCCTCCCTACTCCCTTGCCTGGCTGGTCTTAACTGTCCTTTTGGGTCCCAGGCCAAGTTCTCCAGCAAGCCTTCCTTGACACTGAGCCCACTTCAGCTGTGTGTCCTCTATGTTCCATTGTGGCTTGTGATCACATCTCATTATAATTCCTAGTGCTGCCACTGCCTGTTTATTTGTCTGACAGATTCCTCAGGGATGGGGACTGTGTCACATTCTCCATTCCATTTCCAGTGTCCATGGCATGCTAGCTGCAAAGTAGGCATTTATCAGTACTTGTAAGTGAATACATGCTCGAATAATGAGCTCTGGGCTCTGAGAAGCTTAACCTGGCAATAGGACATAGGGTGGCAGGGTATGGGGGAAAAAGAGAGGGATTGGCAAATGACCCATGGGACAAATGTGGCCCACTGGTTGTTTTGTAAATAAAGTTTTATCGAGACACAGCCATGCTCATCATGCTATCATGACAGAGTTGAGTAGTTGTGAGAGACCCACAAAATCTAAACTATTTGACCATTTTGGCCCTTGCAGAATAAGTTTTTAAATCAAGGTGGCAAAGTTATCACTAAATATGGGGACATGAAGTAAGAAGCCACCATTACGGAAGTAATGCTAAGTTTGGGCAGGAAATAAAGTTGGCAGGAAAATCAGAAGAGAGAGAAAGGGGGGTGCGTTTTCCCTAAACCAAAAACGGAAGCTCAGCCAGAGTTGTGGACGGCTGGTGCCAAGGATGGTGCCCAATGGAGACATCTTCTTCAGAATGTGCTTCCCATCATCACACCTCTGTGCTATACGCGCTCATGAGCACACACGGGCTTCGGACTCAGCACAGTGGGCTGCTGAGGGGAAGACCCATGATGGCCTCAGGCTTCTGTGCTCGTGGGAAAGGAATCCCTTCTCCCCAGTGCTCAGAAGGCAGGCTGAGGGGTGCTGCTTTCTTCTCGGGCCTAGAAGGTGCCAGGCATTGTGCCAGGCTTGGTGTCAGTACTTCTTACACAGGGCGACTGCTCCCCCGGGAACATCTGACAGAGTGTGCAGACACTTTTGGTTGTTCCCAGTGGGAGGAAAGGGCTGCTGCTCACATCGAGTAGAGAGAAGCCAAGGATGGTGGTGCTAACCACCCTACCATGCATGGAATGGTGCCCCCCACAAAGGATGACCCGGCCCCCAGTGTTAATCTCGCCAAGACCTAGGATCCCTGGTTTGCATGCATTGCCTCTTTCACCCCATGTTCGTTGGCCGGGAGGGAAACTGGAGTCCAGAACTAGGAAATCATTGTGCGAGGTCACCACAACAAGGGGCTCCCAGGGAAGCCAGGAGCCTGATGGATCCCCAGGTGTCTCCGACCTAGGGAGGCTATGATCACCTGGCAGAAAGATTTGTTCCCATTTTGAAGTAAACAAACCTCTTTTGGTCATTCCTACACCATGGCCTCAAGACCTGCTACCCAACAGGCGTGGGTACACCCCACGGGGAGTCAGGTGTTGGGATACTTGATGCAGAAATACCAGTGTTCCGCTAGCTAGCAGAGCCTCTGGTGCGTGTTAGAGCAGCAACCTGGAAAATTTGTGCCATCTCAAGCCCAGGGTCCAGCTTCACAAGGTTCTGAGGCTATCCCAGGAAAGGCAAGGGCCAACTGGGGACACAGCGCCAACCTCTATCAAGCATTGTGCTGCTTTGGCAAACCCAGCACACCAAGCTCTAGGGACTGTGTGCGTGGTCGTCAAGGAGCCCGCAGGTAGGGTTCAAGTCCACAGGGCTTTGCAGGGCACTCCTGCTCTGAAGTCCTCAAACAGATGTTAGTGGGACCCCCTGCAGTTACTTATTAACACTGATAGGCATTCCAGAGAGACCTTAATTAATATTCTCAACATTTGCACTTTGGGCTAATCACAGCTAATATTTAATTAAGATCATTGTACTTCCTATAGAATTCTTTTTCACCTTCAGATGGCTTCAGAGATGTCTTTGTTTCTGCCCTAGTGATGTTCCTGGGTTCTTAGCTTGGCTGAAGTGTGTTTTCTGGAAAAATACGTTCACAGTAAGGGCACCTTTGGCACTCCAGGTCAAGGAAGATCTTGGGCACGTGACCAGGATCCTGGTTGAAAGCTGAAGCCAACTTCACGTAGGTGATGGTGACAGACAAAAATTATTTGGAGCATTCCGGCTAGACATTCCCTCATTTGTAGAAGCTGCCTTCTTTCTTCTACTCCAATGCCAAA